GAGAGAGAGAGAGAGAGAAAGAGAGAGAGAGACAGAGAGAGAGAGAGAGAGAGAGAGCGATAAAGAGAAATAGAGAGCAAGAAAGAGAGACATACGGACAGAGAAAGAGAGAGAGGGAGGCAAAGGGATTGAAAGAATCACTATTATTGGAATTATGTTTTGAGTACTATTGTAAGGGGAGGCAGAATTTATGTATCAATAGTATTATCATTATTATAAAGCATCTTGACTAAACCTTAACAAATTTTCCTTTGTTAATCAAATGTCTAAAAAAAACCCATTAGAACTAGAACTCACTGAAAAATTCAAACTTTACATCACAGTCCATGACCTCTGCATATCATAAGGAATACATTGGATCAAAGTACCAGGTTGCATAAAATGATACTGGAACATACTTTCATAGACAACAGAACTAAGCCATCATTTGAATCACATGTGATACATCAGACCATTACAGAGAACTTACAAATACCCAAGGTACTTTTCATGATGGCTGTGATATATTGTCCTACCATTATAAATTCACGGTTACTCCTCTGGATTTTCTTCAATGCCTCTCTTATTTTACATTACTATGATTTACTTGAATTAATTACGGACGTCTTGGAACACATAAAAATTTGTTTAAAAAATTTGTCAACCCCCGACAGGTTCAAGACATCTGTGCTCAGCTGTACATCAAACAATGGTCAACAGTGAAGTCAAAAGGACCAAAGAAAGAAAGAATAACTTTGCCATATATATACATTGTCAATAGAGTCTCAGTCTCACCTGCTCCTCGGAACTTTCCAGAGGGTGGGTAGACTGCAGGCCAGCACTGGCACGGCTCACTTGGAACCTGCAGATCACAATAAATCAAACGCTGTGATACGACACATCGATGAGAACCAGTCTTTTTGAACAAATGCATTTTCAAGACCAATATCAACTTAGAGTAAAACCATCATTTAAAAAAAATAATTAAAAGACGTACATAACATACTATTATTACTAAGCTGCAGCTCAGGATTCAGTGAATTTATTCAGATCAGTCAACAAAAGTTTAAAATTTTTGGTCTGTTGATTGATATCAGGCAAGTAAAAACTTTCTGAAACTGAAATTTAAAAAAAAAAGGTCAATTAAAATCCCAGATCTGAAGATTTTCCCCTCACATAGTATCCAATTGGAGAAAAGAATATATTTAATGCTCAATTTATTATCTGCATAAGCTGGCAGTCAGCTATAAGAGCAGAAACACCCAACACACTCAAAGGCTGTGACACCGGGTCTTCAAAATTCTAAATTGGCACTGGCGAGTTTACATTTCGCACAAAAAATCAGGATTATATATATAATTTTTAAAAGTAGGCCTACTGCTTGGTCAGTCATGGATATATTCACAAGTGGCAACTTAAACACAGAGGCTTGTCAACTTTTTCCAAACCCATTCACAAAGACATTTCTACTTCTACGTTACAACATCAGATTACGTAACTGTGGGTCATATTATATAATAATAAGTTTGATCAAGAAAGTGGAATTTTTTTTGCGTGGTGTACATAATTTGGGCTCTCAAATTCTTGACTGCTAAATCCAGGACAGTTCCAGGAAAGTAAAGACGGTTGGCAAGCCAGTAAAATATCATGCTTTCCCTTCCGTAAAGAAAGGAAACAATGATACTTACCCATTCAACATGGCATCTGGCACACCATACGGGCCATTGGGTAGATTTACAACCTTTGTGGACACCGGCTGAGGTCGAAGTGTTGGGTACCCGCTCTGGGAAAGTAGACAAAACGAAAAGACAATGCTGAGGATGTACACTCTGATCAAGTCAAGTGAACGACAAAAGGGTGGAGAATAATTTCTATATAGAGAAATTGTGTATCAAGATCAAAGGATGCTATATTTAATCAACACACAATCACAACGCTTCCGAAATATCACTTTAAAAGTGTTCAGGCTCAGACCATCTTTTTCGAAAAAAAAAAAGTTAACTTCCATTAATTTAAAGCAAAAAATGTAAAGGAATGATGGTGCCCATTGGAAGCAATTTAAGTAGACAGAAACCAACAGCTACTTTAGGATGATGATAAAACAAATCAAAATCAAGGGATTTAACAAAGTTTATTCAATTCAACATCTTTGAGAAAAATTCTTGTACAGGCATGATAGGCTAAAGTCTAGAGGTTACAGCAGATAAGTAGAGAGCTAAGTTGATTATTATATTTGTAGGAGGAGTGTTCTGTCGATTTGCGCGATCAGTGGATTGCGCAACGCATGTTGTGGATCCCCATGACAATGGAATGCGCAACAATCCATCAATTGTTGCGCATTCTGTAGATCCACAAAATGCGTTATAATTTAGTCATACGTGTATGACGCTAAATTCCGCTTAGTACAATGTCAACAATATGAATCTGGACGCTCATTTTTTATGTTAATACTATATTTCATAGCAGAAAAACGAAACACTCGACACTCAGGTAAATCTAAGGTCCGTTGCACATTCTACGGATCCACGAAAAGCGCTGCACGATCACCGATATAGAATGCGCAACAATCGATGGATTGTTGCCCATTCTATGGATTCACATAATGCATTGTGAGATCCACCATTCACGCAAATCGACAGAACGCACCTAACATACTGACAATGTTTTCAACCTTTATTATCAACCGACCTGAAATAGAAGGCAAAACATCACCTCAGGCCTGTCATCACTTAAACTTAAATGCCTCTTTTATGACAAGATCTAGATTCTAGATCTACATTTCTAGAACTTGGAAGTTAAATAGAGAACCTCCCTCCCTTCTTTGCTGCATGCAAAACTGAATTCGATTTCAAGTTTTAGCCTTTCCACCAATCCATCCTGCTGGTGCACAGTGCAGGCCTTCTTAGTCTTAGCCTAACTTCAGTTCAAGCCATTCAAGCCCATGGCCATGGTGTAGTCCTATACTAGCCTATAGTCTCAGTCCTCCTTCAGTAGGAAAGTTTAAGTTAGCAGACACATATGTCACTAGATCTTCTAGATCTAGATGATGGTGTTGATACCATGTCATACAACACTGAACTGAATGACTGAATTATAATTGGCCTTGGCAAAAAAAAAACCTTTCGCCTTTGCGTTTTGATTGATTTGGTAGCTCTGCTACACTACATTTCATTGTTCTACGAAGGAACGCTTTCTTATAGTTTCCCCTATGTCCATGCACTTTCAGTTCTGTAAACATAAGATGACTTAGATCTCTAGTTCAACGGAAAATCTAATTTCATACTCACCATTTCAAACGCTTGAAGTGTTGATAGTTTGTCTAAATCCTGAAAAACACAGTACACACTAAAATTCTTGCGATTGTAATGTTTCCGGCGGAAGTAGAGTAGAGAGAACATAACATTTAAACACAAAAGAGCTCCAAATGATTGTCGTGTTCGTTCTTTACCGAAGTTTACCTGAAGCTGGAGTTCACAGAAATTAATTAGATCTAATAATGTCTTTAACTCCTATTTTTTACACTAGATCTATATACTATATTTAATAAATCACAACAAAATCTTTTTTTTTTAAATGATGGAAATGGTGAAAATGTTATTTTTGTTTCTTCTGATTGATTTTATTTTAGAATTCTAAAAGTCATTTACTGTGTCTGTTCTGTTATTTTAAAGAATCAGATAAAGAGAATTAAAGGCATGGTAGAATTTAAAAATAGATTTGATTGGTTTGTCTTTCATATTATGCTCCTTGTATAGAGAACGAAAAATATTCATGAAAGTCGTGGGAACATTGATACTAAAAAGCAACAACCATAAAATAATAATATCAGAGAGAGAGAGAGAGAGAAAGAGAGAGTGAGAGAGAGAGAGT